AGGCCTTTTGGCAGTCCAGAAATATGCAGTCTGCCCAGCCTTCTCTGTCCTGCCTTATCCTTGTTACTTTATCATAGAATTCTAAAAGGTTTGTTAGGCAAGATTTCCCTGTCCAGAACCCATGTTGGTGCTTGTTTACAAACCCAAGCTCTCCAGGTGCTCAACAAGTCTTAGCCTAATTATTCTTTCTAGTATTTTGCAGGGGATGCTTGTCAGTGATACGGGTCTGTAGTTAAGTGCCTCCTCCCTAGCACCTTTCTTGAAAATCGGTACATTTGCCTCCTTCCAGCAACTGGGCAATTCTCCCGACATAAGTGACTCATTAAAGATCATTGCCAGAGGCACGCTGAGAGCCTGCGCTGCCTCTTTTTGATCCAACAGCTTTATTTGCATCCAGTGTTGTCAACTGTTTCATTACCTCCTCTGCTGTCACCTCTATATCTGATAGTCTTTCATCTAGGGTACTCGCTTCTAACAATGGGAGCTGCTCAGGCTCGGTTGTGAACACTCCATGGAAACTTGCATTCAGTACCTCGCAGATTTCCTTGTCGCTTTCTGTATATGCCCCTTCTGTTTTCCTCAGTCTTGTCACTTGGTCATTTACCGACATCTTCCTTCTTATATGGCTATGTAGTAATTTAGGTTGCTTTTTCGCTTTGATCGTAATATCATTCTCATAATTTCTTTCCGACACTCGTCTTATGTTAATGTAATCGTTCCTAGCTCTGTTACATCTAATCCTGTTGTCCTCTATCCTTTGTCTTCTGTACTTCCTCCACTCCCTCCTGCTTCTCACCTTTGCATCCTGACACTGTCTATTGAACCATGGGTTATTATATTCCCTCCTGCTTTTTTCCTTTATTGTTGGAATAAATCTCTCTTCAGCCTCCTTGCATTTCAATATGACTTGGTTCATCATACCTTGCACTGGTTTTCCTCTAAGTTCTTCCTCCCACTGCACTTCTCCCAGGTAGTCCCTTATCCTTCTGTAGTCCCCTTTTCTGTAATCAAGTCTCCTTTCCCGGACCTCTTGTTCTTTGGTCACAATTTTAAGCTCCATCATGTAGTCAAAGATTAGGACACAATGGTCACTAGCTCCTAGTGGTATTTCATGTTCCAACTGCTCGATGTCTTCTACATTCTGGGTGAAAATGAGATCTAATAGGCTGGGCGTATCCCCTCCTCTTTCCCTAGTATCTTCCTTCACATGCTGTGTTAGGAAATTCCTGTCAATAACGTCTACCAGCTTCGCTCCCCAGGTCTCCTCCCCTCCATGGGGATTCCTCGTTTCCCAATCTATCTCTCCGTGATTTAGGTCCCCCATGACCAGCAGCTTCGCTCTCATGTGTGTGTGTGTGTGTGTGTGTGTGTGTGTGTGTGTGTGTGTGTGTGTGTGTGTGTGTGTGTGTGTGTGTGTGTGTGTGTGTGTGTGTGTGTTTGCAGGGATATTCCTGCGCGGGCCCTAAGCCTCTGGCTGGCCCACCAAGTGTTGCTTGTTTCTGTTTTACTTGGGCGGAGTATGAGTATTTATGACTCGTATGGTCGCTTCAGTAAGATTTTGTCCCATGTGTTTAACAACTTCTGCTCTGTTGAATCTTAGTTGAAATCTTAATGGGTTTGTAACTGTGCACTGTGTTAGATAATGTTCCAGTGGTCTAGTGTGGCTGTAACTGTGCACTGTGTTAGATAATGTTCCAGTGGTCTAGTGTGGCTGTAACTGTGCACTGTGTTAGATAATGTTCCAGTGGTCTGTTGTGGCTGTAACTGTGCACTGTGTTAGATAATGTTCCAGTGGTCTGTTGTGGCTGTAACTGTGCACTGTGTTAGATAATGTTCCAGTGGTCTGTTGTGGCTGTAACTGTGCACTGTGTTAGATAATGTTCCAGTGGTCTGTTGTGGCTGTAACTGTGCACTGTGTTAGATAATGTTCCAGTGGTCTGTTGTGGCTGTAACTGTGCACTGTGTTAGATAATGTTCCAGTGGTCTGTTGTGGCTGTAACTGTGCACTGTGTTAGATAATGTTCCAGTGGTCTGTTGTGGCTGTAACTGTGCACTGTGTTAGATAATGTTCCAGTGGTCTAGTGTGGCTGTAACTGTGCACTGTGTTAGATAATGTTCCAGTGGTCTAGTGTGGCTGTAACTGTGCACTGTGTTAAATAACGTTCCAGTGGTCTGTTGGGCATTTCTCCACAGTGGTGACATTTAGGCAAAGGTTAACCTGTAGCTCCTGGATCCATGTCGAGGGCAACCCATCTTCCTATTTAGTTAGTACTTATTATGCCGATCATCAATAGTCACGAATTCGTACTTACTTAGCGTTTAGATAGTAGCATACTGACTAGTGAGGACTTCTTTTAAAATAAATGAAGCTACGAGACTGAAGAGATTGAATGTGAGATATGACTGTGAGATTGTAGCTAAGTTATCGGGCTGTGGTGGGTATGTGGGCCTGCGGGCCGCTCCAAGCAACAGCCTGGTGGCCCAAGCTCTCACAAGTCAAGCCTGGCCTCGGGCCGGGTTTGGGGAGTAGAAGAACTCCCAGAACCATGAACCAGGTATATGTGGGCCTGCGGGCCGCTCCAAGCAACAGCCTGGTGGACCAAACTCTCACAAGTCAAGCCTGGCCTCGGGCCGGGCTTGGGGAGTAGAAGAACTCCCAGAACCATGAACCAGGTATATGTGGGCCTGCGGGCCGCTCCAAGCAACAGCCTGGTGGCCCAAGCTCTCACAAGTCAAGCCTGGCCTCGGGCCGGGCTTGGGGAGTAGAAGAACTCCCAGAACCATGAACCAGGTATATGTGGGCCTGCGGGCCGCTCCAAGCAACAGCCTGGTGGCCCAAGCTCTCACAAGTCAAGCCTGGCCTCGGGCCGGGCTTGGGGAGTAGAAGAACTCCCAGAACCCCATCAAGCAGGTATCAACCAGGTATCGTTCCTATAAATACTGCTACAGGAGGAGGAGGAGGAAGGGTGTGTGTGAGTGTCTGGGAGTTGGTAGGCAAGACAGTGGTGGGGAGCTGGCTGACAGTTCGTGCTTGGCCTCCCTAAGGGTGACGACACCTGCCTCCCTCCCTGCTGAGGTAAGCTGCCTATACCACCTCCACCGTCTGGCCCTGAGGGTGGCTACCTGCCTCCCTGAGGGTGAAATGCCCATACCTATCCTGTGGGTGGTGGTGGACCCCATACTTATCCTGTGGGTGGTGGTGGACCCCATACCTATCCTGTGGGTGGTGGTGGACACCATACCTATCCTGTGGGTGGTGGTGGACCCCATACCTATCCTGTGGGTGGTGGTGGACCCCATACCTATCCTGTGGGTGGTGGTGGACCCCATACCTATCCTGTGGGTGCTGGTGGACCCCATACCTATCCTGTGGGTGCTGGTGGACCCCATATCTATCCTGTGGGTTGTGGTGGACCCCCATACCTATCCTGTGGGTGCTGGTGGACCCCATACCTATCCTGTGGGTGCTGGTGGACCCCATACCTATCCTGTGGGTGGTGGTGGACCCCATACCTATCCTGTGGGTGGTGGTGGACCCCATACCTATCATGTGGGTGGTGGTGGACCCCATATCTATCCTGTGGGTGGTGGTGGACCCCATATCTATCCTGTGGGTGGTGGTGGACCCCATACCTATCCTGTGGGTGGTGGACCCCATACCTATCCTGTTGGACCCCATATCTATCCTGTGGGTGGTGGTGGACCCCATATCTATCCTGTGGGTGGTGGTGGACCCCATACCTATCCTGTGGGTGGTGGTGGACCCCATATCTATCCTGTGGGTGGTGGTGGACCCCATACCTATCCTGTGGGTGGTGGTGGTCCCCATATCTATCCTGTGGGTGGTGGTGGACACCCATACCTATCCTGTGGGTGGTGGTGGACCCCATATCTATCCTGTGGGTGGTGGTGGACCCCATACCTATCCTGTGGGTGGTGGTGAACCCCATACCTATCCTGTGGGTGGTGGTGGTCCCCATATCTATCCTGTGGGTGGTGGTGGACACCCATACCTATCCTGTGGGTGGTGGTGGACCCCATACCTAGCCTTGCAGCCCGTACTCATTAACAAATGCCCTTTAATTCATTTAAGCGAAGGTTAGATTAGGTGTTAAGGATTTCTTGGCAACAACCCGTCCTCGACTCAAGTCCATTCCATCCAGCGGTCGACCCCACACACGCATTCATAAATTTTAACATGCTGTTCATTCAAAACAGGAATTTTCTCAAATATATATTAATCTTATAATATATTAGTATATTATGCATATATAGGCATAGGTTAGGTTAGGTGTTTAGGTTCTGTTGGCGATTATTTGTATTTGTAGTACGTGGGTGAAGCATTTACAGCGTTGTGGTTCGAACACCAGTCGTCAGTGAAGCACTTGTTCCGGAAGTGTTTGCATGTCATCAGTTGAGTCGTGTGTCAACCGCTTTTCATTCACAAACAGGGGGGTTTGGCGGCTGGATTAACGAGCTTTGATCTTTGTATGCGAGGACGGGCTGCTGAGTGAGAGTTCTCCCTCGTGAAGACCACGTTCGAGTGTGAGAGACGGTCCGGCAGCCCGTCCTCCAAACAAAGATCCAAAAGTGATTCCATCCACCCACCAAACCCCAGCTGTTTATGAATGAAAAACGGTTTACACACGACTCACAACTGCTGACGTTCGAACATATCCGGAACAAGTGCTTCACTGACGAATTTTGTTCGAATCACAACGCTGTAAATGCTTCACCCACGTACTACAAATACAAATAATCGCCAACAGAACCTAAACACCTAACCTAACCTATGGCTATATATACACAATATGCTAATATATTATAATATTAATTTATAGTTGAGAAAATTCCCGTTTTGAATGAACAGCATGTTAAAATTTATGAATGCGTCTGTGGGGTCGACCGCTGGATGTAATGGACTTGAGTCGAGGACGGGTTGGGTCCGGAGAGCCAAGTGTGAAACAGAGCAAGGTGAGGTGGTGGCAGCGCCGGACTGAGCGCCCCTCACAGTGTTACTGGTGGTCGGCGGAGCAGGAGTACCTTGAGGCGGTGTGAGTGGCCGTGGTCAACCTTACTGAGGGCCGCCTTATCGTATGCTGACAGGATATCTAAGATCTGAGGCTATCGCTTGGCGTGGTCACTCGTTTACGGATAGTCGAGATCTTAATTTGTCTCGTGACTCAAGTGGTAAGTGTTGGAAGGCCGGACCTCTATACTTGACTGTACAAGTGAACTGTTTACATGGAAAATGTTGTGGACAAATGTGGAGATATATACGTAATTTTAAGTGGGCCTGATATTAGTGATATGCTTTCTAGATTGATAATTTGGTAGGGGTATTTGGGGTAGTGTCTCGACATACATTCGCAGTAGGTAGTCTCTAAACGGCATGTTGTTCAATAATGTCTCTTATTTCGACGTATAAATTCCCAAAGACTACAAACAGGTGTACGAGGACAGTCACGGCGGCGGCAAAATTGAATGTCCCGTTTTCTACTGGTGGGTCTTCGGGTACGTTGGAGCACTCTTGTTTAGTGCCGCGGTGAACGCTGTAGAGGAAGGGTTGTTCTGCACGTGCGCATGGTTCATGGTTACAATATTAATGCTCCTCAAACCGTAGAGACGTAAATATACATTATATCTGCTCTTCTCTTAATTTCATAATAATAATAATCTTTATTTAGGTAAGGTACATAAAGAGATTTACAAAGTTTGTTGGCTTTATAGATAGAGCTAGTACATACAATGCCTAAAGCCACTATTACGCAAAGCGTTTCGGGCAGGAAAAACATTAATGACTACAGCTTAAAACTAATGGGTAAAAAGAAAAGATGTGATGAGTACATATAAAAAATAGAGGTAAAAGAGGGGGGAACATTGTTGAAAAAGCAGCACAAATAATTACAAATTATTACAGAAAATTACATTCAAACAGCGTTGATTTGAAAAACAAAAAAACACAAAATATACATGGGTTGACAACAGGGGGGTAAGGTAGGTTACATGGAATTTATTAGGTATAGCTTCGTTTTGAACTTAAACTGGTTGAGAGAGGTACAGTCTTTAACATGGTTGGGAAGGTCATTCCACATTCTGGGCCCCTTGATTTGTAGAGCATTTCTGGTTTGATTAAGTCGTACTCTAGGAATATCAAAACTGTATTTATTTCTGGTGTGGTGCTCATGGGTTCTGTTACAACCTTCTATGAGTAATTATAAAGCTTGACACCAGCTTTAAGAGTGACAAGTGTTCCTAAGAGCTATTTAACCACTTGCTAGGCAACTTAAAATAGAAGTGTTCTGGAGTCTGCTCCATTGAAGCAGACCTTGGCCCTCCTCCCTGTGAGGTAATCTTCAACCCATTTCAAGAGTCCCGCCTTGATACTCGTGCATGAAAGCTTGTTAAAGATCGTAATCCCTTGTGCCTTGTCGAAGGCTCCTTTGATGTCAGAGTACCTAGCCGTGTCAGTTTGCTGTGCTCCGTCCTTTAACAAATCCACTGACCCCCTAGCCTGCCTATATTGGGGAGTGTTGTACATGTTACTATGGCGGTACGTCCACACAAGAATGGCGCTGCCCAATGACCTCTCCCTTCGGAGCAAAATTTAAAAAGTTTTTAATAAACTGTTGCCTAAAACGTAACTTTCCGACTTGTAGGTTGAAGCCAGAGGGAAGTGGTCAGTGACCCCAGGTGACCCTAGGTGGACCCCAGGTGGACCCCGGCCATGCTTCACTACCACATACTGCCTTGGTCAGCTGTAGCTGGTGTCATGACGTGTGTAATACTGAGGTACGTGTGGACGACGTTGACCAACAGGGAGGTGGAGCCGAGCGGGCGGATAGTGGTGGTGACCGGGTGTGACAGTGGTATAGGTTACCAGGTGGCCAGGAGCGCGGCCTCCTGGGGGTGGACGGTGGTGGCCACCTGCCTAAACCTGCAGGGTGAGGGCGCCCTGGCCCTCGCCCGGGCTGGCGTCCACACCGTCTACCTCGACTTCACTAAACCCAACATGCTCCGCTCCCTCCAGGATAAGCTGCAGCAGCTCTGGGAGGACGATGGCAAAGGTTAGTTAAATATTTTTGGTTTATTACAGATTTTCATCCGTTTATTGCCAAAATGTGGCTTGGTGTCCCTAAAATTGCTCCAAAACTATACAAATACGTATGTTCTGTAAGACGCGGAATTGAGCATGAAATGAACGTAGTACAGGGAAGGATCTAGTAGAGTAACGGCCCCGCTCCTGTGCCAGGCGAGTCCACTACGGGCTCACCATAGCCCGTGCTACTAGGACCTTTCGTTCTTCGTATACTACACGGTACAAAAGTACCATGGAAGTAAGTAGTGGTGGTGTACGAAGAGGTATAGTGACCACTTCCAGTTTAAGGTCGGTCATAACGTGAACTGTGATGTATTAAACTTAACATTTCTGTAACTTTATTATTTTTAAGTGTTGATTTTATTATAAATTCAAACAAAGAACCCATAATGGAACTTTTGGCAAGTGAAAAGTTGAATGTTTAGGTCATTCGTCAACTCTGTAATCTGTGACAATTCCCTGGACTTGTAATGATAGTATCCAAATGTGATTGACAGAGCTGTGGTGTCTAGTGAACAACGCGGGCATGATGACGCACGCGCGCCTGGAGTGGCACACCAACGACATGGTGGTTGATCAGGTCAGAGTTAACCTGACGGGGCCCATTGACCTCACCAGGGCTCTCCTCCCCACCATCAGGAGAAACAAGGGTAACTCTTCCAATATTTTGTCTGTTCTTGTAGCTAGACTTGCCTGTTCCAGCCTTGTACCTCTGTACCGAACCCTAGCCAGCTCTCCTGCCTGTTGTACTGTACCACTGGTGGTACTAAACTCATTGAGAGGGGGGACAGGAGCATGTTTATTTACATACAAGGTACACTGGGTTTGAGAGAATACATAGAATAGTATTTACAATCTTGTAAAGCCACTAGTACGCGCAGCGTTTCGGGCAGTTTAGGCATGTCGGCTAATATGGGTCGTATGCATTAAAGAACATTTCAATTCACTGTTGTGACTTGTAAGTTTATCGAGGTAAAATGCACACAAAGGGATGAGGTAGCTAAAGCTATTCTCGCCCCGTTCAGTACGTGTTCATACATAGACATCACAAACAATAAACATTACCAAACAGTGATAAAGATCACACGAGGGTGGTAAACACGACTTGTGAAGGCGATGAGTCACAATAACGTGGCTGAAGTATGTTGAAGCTCCAATACGAGGCTATTGGAGCTGCCTCGTATGGGCCAATAGGCCTGCTGCAGTTTCCATTACTACTATCCCCTACACCTGACTTTCCTCCTCAGCTCTCTCTTGCCTATTTATTGCCTGTCCCTACCTCCTCATCACAATCGACTTGAGAATGGTCCAGGACGGACCGAAACGTCGTCGTCCCTTCAATTTCTAGTGTGTGGTCTGGTCAACGACTTGTGAACGTGTTCCATTAGGTTAGTCTCGTTGACTGCTATAATACTGCTTCTCGCCAAGCTATAGTTGACCTTCCCGACCTCTCGCAGTACTCCACACTATGATGTAAACATTCCCGCGGAAATATACGGGGTCCTGGGGCCAGATTCACGAAAGCACTTACGCAAGCACTTACGAACGTGAACATCTTTCCTCAATCTTTGACGGCTTTGGTTACATTTATAAAACAGTTCACAAGCATGAAAACTTCCCATTCAACTGTTATTGTTATAAACAGCCTCCTGGTGCTTCGGGGCTCATTAACTGCTTAATAATTGGAAACAAAGCCGCCAAAGCTTATGAAAAGATGTACAGGTTCGTAAGTGTTTGCGTAAGTGCTTTCGTGAATCTGGCCCCTGGCCTTGGGCTAGGCTCCTCCAGCCGGCTGCCACAGACACATTTTTTCCTTCAAACCTTTTTTAAATTTAAAGTTCCTTCTCAAATAGAAGGTAACATTTCATAGCATGTACTGAACAGTTAGACCTTAAGTTATTAATCGTTATTGGTATTTGTAGTAACTATATAGTTTATAGAAGAGGTTAAAGGACGTGACTGAAGCACTGCTGGAGAACACCGCGTTAAGTAATTGGTGTAGAAAGGTTTTTCCAGCGAAAGAAATTGGTCGCTGGATTAACTAGCATTCCGCCTTGACGTGGACAGCCTAGGAAAGAGGGAGAGGGGGTTATCTTGAGATGATTTCGGGGCTTTAGTGTCCCCGCGGCCCGGTCCTCGACCAGGCCTCCACCCCCAGGAAGCAGCCCGTGACAGCTGACTAACACCCAGGTACCTATTTTACTGCTAGGTAACAGGGGCATAGGGTGAAAGAAACTCTGCCCATTGTTTCTCGCCGGCGCCTGGGATCGAACCCAGGACCCCAGGATCACAAGTCCCGCGTGCTGTCCGCTCGGCCGACCGGCTCCCCGGGGTTGTTAAAGACACTCAAACTCAAATATTATTGCGGTGGTAGTTGAGTGGTTCAGGCGTTTAGTACACATTTTCTTTGCGAGAGCTAGAAGATATAAGCTCGTTACTGGCGAAACAAATTGGTTTTTAAAGTATGGTTTCCAGTTGACTAATTTTGTACTTCAAAAAGATTTAGGTGCACAAATTCTCTCAAACTGTCAAGACGAAGCATTTCTTTCGCTAAAGTTTGAGAGTTCAGACACCCTAATGTTCCCAGCTAGTTTTATATAACATTGTAATCTTGTCCAGTGCTAAAAACTATAAATTTAATTAGAACTGATGGTGACAACTAAATTTAAAATTGTTTAAATTGAAAAAATGTAATTTTTTTACCTCGTAAAAGGGTTTGGTGTTCCGTAGAATTTTACGGTAGTCTAAACTTTGTGATCGTGTCTGCCACTTTTAATAAATTAAACGTGTACTTGATACTCACTTTACTTCGGTTGTAAACTTTCACTCTAATTGTAAACCATTGTCATTCTAAACGCTTTTAATACAGGCGTGACAAATATAATTTGCCCTTTAAAATAAGGTTTATTAATACTTCATGCCGGATATGGGTAACATATTGACTGCGTAAAGCTTAGTATAATCTAAACATTGTTCCACTCCTCTTCTTCCCCTCTTAAGTATCCATTGCGAATTGCTTGGAGTAATTTAAAGATTAAATGTTTCAGGCACTTGAACACCCAACTTTGCTAAATACTTGGCACACTAAAATCTGCTCTTAATAGAGCAATGGTTCCAGAATCTTTGATTGTTGCCGCCGAAGGCGGCTAGTTTATTGTGCACCCCATACTCATCCTGTGAGCGGTAGCGCAAAAGCATTACAGAGGGCACAAAAGGTCTTTATCAGACCTCATCTTAGATTATTACATAAACAATTTCTTCAATCCTTCACACCTTATAGATACAATGTCAGCTAGTTACAGAGAAAGTGCTATTACAAGAGCTACATATTTACAGTAAGTCATCATACATTAATGGTAGGTTTTATCGCTAATACATAATAGTTTCTCTTGTAAACATTCCAGCTCTCGTATAGGTGTTGTCTAGCGATACTGACAAGGGCGCTAAAGTTACACGTGATAAACCTCAGAGCTGCACCTTCAACAGTTTACAGCCTATTGGAATGCCTATTTCTGTGAGTGCCGACAGACGTTGCTTACTCTCAAACTGCAGAAAGCTCTAGTATACAGCTCTTTACGATAGAACTATTTGAACCATACTAGTTAAATTATAAAGATATTAAATTGCCAAAATGAGTTGTGTACTAGCCTAGTGTGCTTGCTGGTGTTCCACTTCCTCTTTAGTCCTGCATCTAGACTGTGAATCTTCTAGCGTGCATGTTCCTGAGCCTATTGGGCTCAATCATGTTTACATTTTCAGCTGTGTATGGAGTCGCTCCTCCAACTTCCAATCCATTAAATTTAACTCGCTGAAAGCTCTTCATACTGACTGTCTGGCTCATTTGGATACTTGGCTTCCACCTGTCACCTTGAGAGTATCACCAGTGCTAAATATCCTGGTTTATCCTGTCCGTTCCCTTGAACTTTGTATGTGGTAATCATGTCTCTCCGAACTAATCTTCCAGCAAAGCGAGGTGAAATTCGGCCAGCCTTTCCTTGCAACTCTGACCTTAGGTCAGAGACTACTAATAGTAGCATACTTTTGAACCTTCTCGGCTTTGTCTTGTGCGTGACAAGGTATGGATTCCATGCTGGCGATGCATACTCCAGGATTGGTCAGACGTGTGGTATAAAAGGTTCTGAAAGATTCCTTGAATGGAGTTTCTAAGGGAAGCTCTGATAGAAAGCCTTGCATACGCCGCTATTGATATTCTTTTGATGTGGGCTTCAGGAGACAGGTTCGGTGTGATATCAACTTGATCAGGTTCATGGCGGACTTTAGCCCGTCCTCTGAACAGACTGTCTATATCCATGCACCTGCCTAACCCCTTGTTTATGAATGGATGGGGGGGGGGGACGGTTTACAAGACTCGACTGATGACGTTCGAACACTTCTGAAGCAAGTGGTTCAATGACTTGCTAGAATCACAACTGTAACAGCCCGTCCTCCAAACAAAGATCTAAAAGCGATTCCATGCACCCACCAAACCCCCTGTTTATGAATGAAAAACGGCTTACATAAGACTCACAACTGCTGACGTTCGAACATATCCGGATAAAGTGCTTCACTGACGAATTTTGTTTGAATCACAACGCTGTAAATGCTTCACCCACGTACTACAAATAATCGCCAACAGAACCTAAACACCTAACCTAACCTATGCCTATATATACACAATATGCTAATATATTATAATAATAATTTATACTTGAGAAAATTCCCGTTTTGAATGAACAGCATGTTAAAATTTATGAATGCGTCTGTGGGATCGACCGCTGGATGGAATGGACTTGGTCAGAGGACGGGTTGAGGACTTGGTCTCGCATTCGGTACCCTGTGTCTGGCCTCTTGTTCCCTCCGCCTAGTTTCACTATCTTGCATGTACTTTGGTTGAACTTTAGTAGCCATTTGTTGGATCATTCCTTCAGTTTGTCTAGGTCATCTTGTAGCCTCGTGTTATCTTCCTCGGTCTCAATCCTCACATTTTTTTGCATCTGCAAACATTGAAGAAAGTCTATTCCATCTGGGAGATCATTTACATGTCAATTATAGGTCCAAGAACTGAACCTAGCAGGACTCCGCTGGTTCCTCGCCACTCCCCCCTCCCCTTTCGGTGACTGTCTTCTGTTGCTTAGATTGATTGTTGCCGCCGGAGCCGGCTAGTTTATTGTGCACCCCATACTCATCCTGTGAGCGGTAGCGCAAAAGCATTACAGAGGGCACAAAAGGTCTTTATCAGACCTCATCTTAGATTATTACATAAACAATTTCTTCAATCCTTCACACCTTATAGATACAATGTCAGCTAGTTACAGAGAAAGTGCTATTACAAGAGCTACATATTTACAGTAAGTCGTCATACATTAATGGTAGGTCTTATCGCTAATACATAATAGTTTGACCAATGGGGACATTAGAGTCATAGGGAGCTTCTGTTTATTATTAGTCTTCACAATACACTACTTGTTTCTGAATCTCATATGTCGTTCATCTACTGGAAGCAAAATGTGGGTACAGTGCAAGGATTTCAGGTAATTTATCCATGGTAATAAGATAGGTTGCCATATCATACAGAGTGAGCTTAGATTTACCTCTAAATGGCTCAATTTTACAACAATCCAAGATAGTGTTCGAGTGTGTGTCCCTGCCTATGTCCACACACTTTACACTTCATCTAGATCCCTATACAAGCCGAACTGCCAGAGATACTTGTAGCCAAGTCTTATACGAGCTGTGACAACATCTGTTAGTCTACTGACCTTGTTACTTGCCACATACACATGTTTTACTTCACACATTTCATTGTGATGAACAATGGATTCTCTAGTTCCAGTTTGCACTGTTCTACTTTCTTCAAATCCGTCCAGGAGTTCTCGTCTAATGACACTTTTAAGGGACCTATTTGATAACTCAAGATTCCGTTCAATACTGTCTTTATTTACTGCAGCCTTAGCAAGGGCGTCAACTTTGTCATGTTCCTGCAGGCCAATGTGAAAGAGTCCACAACATTTTTATATTTACCCTCTTGCTAAGTATTCTTATATATATCTACGTCTGGCTTCCAAGACAAGCACGTTATTACTTGATTGCAAACTGTTTATTGCTCGTAGTGAGGATAGGGAGACAGAAATAATTAAGCTGTCTACTTCAGTGTTGTCAATAATTTAGTGCTACCAGTATCGCTACCAACTCGGCTTGCATTGTGGACGCCCAGTTACTAATTCTTATATTCCTTTGAATTGTGCTGCCATCGGGCTGATGAGCAATAACAGCACTTCCTGCCCTCCCTGTAGCTGTATTGAGTGATCCGTCAGCGTATATGGTCTGTGCTATGTTGTTTTCAGCTTGTATATTGTGAATGTGTTCTATGGTGCTTAATTTAGCAGCAAGCTGAGCATGAGGGTTGTTTGTGATTAGTTTCTTGGTGGGGTATGCAGGGGTCAGGATGTCAAAAGGTACTATCTGCCAGGGTGGAAGGAAGTGCTGTACTCTTTCATCTGTATATACATCGTGCAGTCCCATCATTTTAATGTCTGTTCTTTGAATCCATTTAGACTCGCTGGTTCCATTTCGTATGTGTTCTAACAGTGCAACTGACAATATTTTTATCACGCCGGAGCTTTAGTCCCATCATAAGATTAATTTCAAATATTCTATCTCTAATGCTAAGTATAGTTAATTCTTTTTGCATGTTGAGAACTTTGGTAGTTATAGGACAGCCAAGTATAATTCTGAGTGCTTCATTTTGCATTTTTCCAGTCTATCAATACTTTTCCCATTCTGCACGAATAAAGCTGTGCATGATAGTCTATCAGAGACCTTATATATGCTAAATACATCATTTTTATTCTAATATTAACACCGTATTTAGGGCTGTACCCCACTACAGTTCTGAGAGCCTTGAGTCTGTCTCTACATTGTTGATGTAACTTATTGACTGCAGTTGAGGTACAAGGGACAGAGACACCAAGGTATTTGAAAGAAGAGACAAAGTCTATTGGTATGTTATCTATCTTAAGTTTTCGTGGTCCACTTTTGCGGTTGCCAATTTGTCTGTTAAATACCTTAGTTTTAGCAGCGTTGATTACAAGACCAAGGCTCTCACAAGCTGTATGTATACAATTTAAGACTGTTTGCATTTCGCGGTGGGTTTTAGTATGCACAAGGATGTCATCTGCATAGCTGATAGTGATGTTTGCCGGACTAGTTGGGATTGATGTTAGTAAAGCATTAAGTAGAACATTAAACAAGGTAGGACTAAGTACTCCTTGTGGGGTGCCTAGTTGCATTACTTTAGTTTCACTCTTGTAGCCTTGGAACAGTGCAGAGGACTTCCGGTTGGTAAGATAGCTTAGGTACTCCCTTATCCAATAGTGCCTTCCCTTCCACTCCTGTCTAAATCTCCAAGCTGTGCACTAGTCTCGTGTGGGGTACTGTCACACTTTCTGGCAATCAAAGAATATGCACTTTGCCCAACCTTTTTCCTGATTTGTCGCCTGGTGAAAGAATTGAGTTTAACCTGCAAGGCAAGATGCGTCATCCCAGAACCCATTCTGATGTCGGTTATTCTGCTCCAGGCGGAGCAGTTTTGTATTACGTTACATTCTTGTAAAGCCACTATTACGCGTAGCGTTTCGGGCAAGGTCCTTAACCCTAATTTCCCCGGAATACGACCCCGCCGAATCGTTTAACAACCAGGTACCCATTCACTGCTGGGTGAACAGAGGCTACAGTTAAGGATTGGCGCCCGGTCAATCCTCCCCGGCCAGGATTCGAACCCAAGGCAAGGCGCTTGCGAAACGCCAGGCGAGTGTCTTGCCACTGCGCCACGGAGACTGCTTACGCACTCTTCTCCCTCAATTATGCGTAGTATGCAAGTTAGACCCTGGCCTTTAGTTCAGCGCCTCCTGTCCTCCACCCTTGTATATCGGCACTAAAAATTCACGTGCATTGTGTGCGAATTTTCTCACAACCTGTCTCCTCTTAAAAAGAACGTCGCTTTTGGCCGTTTGCCCGTATGGACGTAATTTGAAAATGAAAAAAAAATGAATATAAATTTGGGATTTTTTTTTAAACAGTAAGTTAAGGGTCCTCTGATAGGTTAGGTGGGCAGGAAATTGTTTCAAAACGGTATGAAAAACGTTAATGGAAAGAATCCTCTTCTAAGCTGGCCGAGTAGGGCGGACGACTCAAACAGAAAACGGAACAGTACGTCACTTTTGTGAGTCGATTTAATTTCAAATTGCGTCCAAATTTGGCCATAGCGCGCTCATATGGGCGAAAAGTGACGTTATTTTTAAGAGGACGGGTTGCACAATTAACATGTTTGTCCTGCCCCACGTGGGGAGCATGTAAACTAAAACATGTGGTAAGACACTCGCCTGGCGTTCCGCGAGCGCTATGTCATGGGTTCGTATCCTGGCCGGGGAGGATTTACTGGGCGCAATTCCTTAACTGCAGCCTCTGTTTAACGCAACAGTAAAATGTGTACTTGGATGAAAAAACGATTCTTCGCGGCAGGGGATCGTATTCCAGGGACCATAGGATTAAGGACTTGCCCGAAACGCTACGCGTACTAGTGGCTCTACAAGAATGTAACAACTCTTGTATATATCTCGACAAAAAAAAAAAAAAATGCCCAGCAGTCTATAATAGACTGCTTAAATATTAGTTGCAGGCGATGGGTCACAATAACGGGGCTAAATTATGTTGACCAGACCACACACTAGAAGGTGAAGGGACGACGACGTTGTTTCGGTCCGTCCTGGACCATTCTCAAGTAGATTGTCGACTTGATAATGGTCTAGGACGGACCGAAACGTCGTCGTCCCTTCACCTTCTAGTGTGGTCTGGTCAACTTAAATATTAGTTACAATGGAGGGTAAATGATATACTGTACTAGGCTACACTAACCTAGCAACTGGACTCGTACATGCAAAATGCGACTGTTTGAGCCGCTATGATATCAGATATCATTTGCCCGGTGATCATTTTGACGTAAAATGCTACATATTATTCTGGAACAGATTGCCTAATGAGCTCGTGCCAAGACCTAAGTGGTGAGGTGCTTTGTCCTCTGTAACTAAATCATTAACTTGTGTTGGGTGACGTTAGGGAGAGATTCTTGTGCTGTACCCAAAGTTTGAGGTTACCTTGAGGAGCTTCCGGGGCTTAGCGTCCCCGCGGCCCGGTCGTCGACCAGGCCTCCTGGTTGCTGGACTAATCAACCAGGCTGTTGGACGCGGCTGCTCGCAGCCTGACGTATGAGTCACAGCCTGGTTGATCAGGTATCCTTTGGAGGTGCTTATCCAGTTCTCTTGAACACTGTGAGGGGTCGGCCAGTTATGTCCCTTATGTGTAGCGGAAGCGTGTTGAACAGTCTCGGGCCTCTGATGTTGATAGTTCTCTCAGAGTACCTGTTGCACCTCCGCTTTTCAACGGGGGTATTCTGCACATCCTGCCATGTCTTCTGGTCTTGTGTGATGTTATTTCTGTGTTCATTTGTGTGGTAGTTCTGTGAGGTTGGGTCTAATCTCTCATATTAGTTTCCTTCTAACTCCAGGTACAAGTAACCCTCCAGCAAAATGGGGACGTTAGGAGGTGGGGGGGGGGTGAGGTTAGAAATAGCCTAAGCTACTCTATTCCTTTGAGATGTATTAGTTTGTTAACGTCCCTATTAAAGTAAGTTTGAGCTCATAGCTGTGTAATCCCAAATCATGATAGGGTAGGGTAGCAGTGTACAAGTTATTTACTTGTTAAATATCAATCTACTGGATATCACGGCAGCGTGGAACGTTCATGTCCTTGGGCATGACAGTGGAGGGAGGGAGGGCGGGGAGGCGGCGTCCTAGAGTACTTTTAAAAACTAAATTTGATCGAAAGACTAATAATGAACTTGCATCACTCTAGTTCGGCAAAGTGCATGAACTCCAACGTTACTACGTCTAATATGGCATATGGGTCATACTAAATTTAGATGTCCAATATTTTGCTGAAGCAGACGGTCACAATAACGGGGCTGAAGATATGATCGCACCAGAAGATAGACGACGACGTTTCGGTCCGTCCCCATTGGCAAGTAGATTGTAGACTTGATAATGATCAAGGACGGACTGAAGTCTATACATCTTCTGGTGTGTAGTTTGGTAGTCATTTTGCCTAGGATTACTTAGTTTAGCTCTTGACATTCTAACAAAAATATAAGTAATTTGCATGGCTAACTAGCAACTTGGGTAAAACGCTGACCAAGCTTGATACAGTAGGTTAAGTTTAAGATGTGGCTAGCGAGGCGCCATGCTCCTTTAAGCTCCACCCCCAAATAGGGAGGAGCTTGAAGACGCTTAATGGGCTCTGAAGCTACACATTGTCAAGCTATAACATAAAGCTGAACATCGGCTTCTTTTCAACTCTTAAACTTGATTCTTGTCATTATTTGTGGCAGGTCGTGTGGTGATGGTGTCTTCTCCAGCGGGGCAAGTACCCGTGCCCAAGATATCGGTCTACTGTGCCACAAAGTGGGGCATAGAAGGCTTCAGCCAGAGCCTGCGCTTAGAGTTGGACTCCTCGGGAACCTCTGTAGTCATCGTCAGACCGTGTGAGTAGTCCTGCATCCTATGGTACAACTTTTGTAAAGGCTTCGCTTAACATGCTTGATACTGCCAGACTCTCGCTCGGTTTTGCTTGTTCGGCAAGCAGGTCTCAAAGGCTGGATCCCACGTGATAATGGGAGATTGGGAGCCCCCTAGAACAATAGGTCCCCTCCCGTCGAGGGTAATAGATATGAGGAAAAGGAAAATACCTATGGAATTGTGCTGGGAAAACTGTTTTAAAGGTCCCTTCCTCTTGTAACCTTCCTTTTTTAATCTCCCTCCCATCCTTTGACTAAATTATCGTGCAAAATTACCGCATGAAACTAGCCTAATATTTTCATTTGGTAATCTTGACAAGATTTGATAAATAGTCTTCACTGAGCACCCTAACATCGTTATTTCCTTGACTTTCCTCCACTAAATTTAGAAATTCCAGCAAGATTGTAAAGTAGCGACCAAGACGTCTAGGGGAAGGGGGGAGGTTCTATACTGAAACATGGCCCTTATTTACTGCATAAGGATAAATATTACTTATATTTAGGATACCTAGGGTAGTCCTTAGTTCTTAATGTATCTCTTGACTTTGTCCTTAATTGGCCAGAACTTTACACTTGCAGAATATTAGTTATGGACTCGTATTCGAAGATTAGTTTGAATAAAATGTTAATTTCGAAGTTAAATTTACAATTTTAAATATTTTTAAACGGTTCTAAACTTGGAAATGCTAGCGAGGTTCGCGTAATGGATCAATAATACATAAAATGCCACTACCCTATTCATGGGCAAACGCCTGCACATAGTTATCTTGAGGTTATCTTGAGATGATTTCGGGGCTTTAGTGTCCCCGCGGCCCGGTCCTCGACCAGGCCTCCACCCCCAGGAAGCAGCCCGTGACAGCTGACTAACTCCCAGGTACCTATTTACTGCTAGGTAACAGGGGCATTTAGGGTGAAAGAAACTTTGCCCATTTGTTTCTGCCTCGTGCGGGAATCGAACCCGCGCCACAGAATTTAGTCCTGCGCGCTATCCACCAGGCTACGAGGCCCCTATAAAGTAGTAGTTAGTGCTACAGAGTGGAAACTAACCAGAGCTTCGCCGGTTAGATTTTGAATCCGAGTAAGTTCATGTAGTTCCTACTGAAGCGTTACTATTTTTTTTTTTTTTTTTTTTTTTTTTTTTTTTTTTTTTGATATATACAAGAGTTGTTACATTCTTGTAGAGCCACTAGTACGCGTAGCGTTTCGGGCAAGTCCTTAATCCTATGGTCCCTGGAATACGATCCCCTGCCGCGAAGAATCGTTTTTTCATCCAAGTACACATTTTACTGATGCGTTAAACAGAGGCTACAGTTAAGGAATTGCGCCCAGTAAATCCTACTACTTTCATTGCACGCATTATCTCTCAAGTTTGCCAGTTACTAATCGTGTACCTCTTGACCGACAGGTAACCTGCCTAACCGCACAGGAATATTGAGCAGAAACGCTGGTCAGCTCAGACGAATGATTGAGGCAGCGAGTGAGGAGACACTACAGACTTACAGGAAAGAGATGCGAGAGTCGCTGCACGTTTTTGAGATGCACTTCAGCGACGTCTCCACAGTACAAAACATTAACGACCCGTTGCTCATGCAGTGTTTCAGGTACTCGTATGTTTAACACCGTAATTCTTTACTTGTTGAAATTACATTATATAAAAAAAAAATGGTTCTGTGAGGATTTTGTGGTAGCTTAGTCAATGATGTTAGATGCTATTACCTGTACAAATGTCTTCATATAAACTGCGCCCACTCATTTCTTGCAATTATTTTTTTGCACACATGTACAAAACGCGTGTGCACGTGTCCGCACTTTTTTTTTCTCTCCCCCCCCCCAATTTCAGTGCTTTGCAATATAAAGTTTAGAGCTGAAAAGGGTGGTGGAAACCCTTGCACAGCCAATATACAGAATATATTATATACACAATATATTGTATACTAGCCGGTACCCGACGATGCGTTGCTGTGGCTCGACGCATGGGGGAGGACTGGGAGACAGGAAGGTTGCTGTGGCTCGACGCATGGGGGAGGACTGGGAGACAGGAAGGTTGCTGTGGCTCGACGCATGGGGGAGGACTGGGAGACAGGAAGGTTGCTGTGGCTCGACGCATGGGGGAGGACTGGGAGACAGGAAGGTTGCTGTGGCTCGACGCATGGGGCAGGACTGGGAGACGGGAAGGTTGCTGTGGCTCACCAAGGCACATGCGTTGTTGAGCCACAGCAACCTGTCCCCCCCCGTCCCCTCGTCCTCCTTATTATTCCCCTTCTTCCTATCCCCTCGTCCCCACCAATACTCCCTCCCCGTTCCATCATCCTCCCACCATTCCCCACTCCCTTGTCCGATGCATTCTCAAATGATCTAATGTTTCCCATCATATAATTGGTAACAAAATGATCTGATGTTCCCATCACTTAGATAAAAAAATTAAACCAAATTAAAAAATAAACTATACTTACGAAATGAATGGTATGGTTAACACAGCTCATTGACAATGCAATGTCACACACAATAATTAAATCAAAATGAAAAAATCATTTTTCATAAATGATTTTAAAATCATAAAATCAATCTGAAAATTTAATTTATCAATGGAATCGTAACATTTAGTATAGCATGTTTGGTCTCGTGTGCAACAGATGGCGCTGTTTTTCAAACGCTTGGTTTTTACCTGTCACAGGGGTGGCAACTATATAGGTATATAAAAACATGCGCGTATTCGAATGGAACGTTGTGTCAAAATTTCAAAGCAATCGGTAAAGAGGTTTCAAAGATTCCCCCCACCTTACCTTACCTTGAGGTGCTTCCGGGGCTTAGCGTCCCCGCGGCCCGGTCGTCGACCAGGCCTCCTGGTTGCCGGACTGATCAACCAGGCTGTTGGACGCGGCTGCTCGCAGCCTGACGTACGAGTCACAGCCTGGTTGATCAGGTATCCTTTGGAGGTGCTTATCCAGTTCCCACGTGGAAAAAAAACACACAAGTTTTTCGAAAGCATGGTTTTTTACCATCAGACGTGACATTTATATATTACGTAGTAACCTCAATTTTTCAAAATTCATGAAATCGCTGGGGTAAGGTGCGGGGGTCTAGATGCGACACATTGAGCCTCTCCTTTCCCCCCCAGACTGACTTTACAATTTTTTTCCCATGTTGAAAACACTTGTATAGTTGGTGAGACGTGTAGTGAACCTGACAAGCGGTCTTCTTCGTGCAGCGGCGCCTCAAGAAGCCTCCCATGGCTCGGGAGGAGGGCAGACAATGTCCTAAAAATATTATATTGCAGTTTCCTAAATTTTAAATTGCAGCCTGCTGGTGGTTTCCTTCTAGAAAAATCATTTTGTCGCTACTTTAGACTAGTTTAGCCCATATATGGTCCTTGTCTTTGTTATAGTCTAGGATTTTTGGGGATCCTGCTGGGCTGACTTTCATAATTTTTGGTTAAAAAAATATATAATTTTACTATATTTTTGGTAGAAAGCCTTGTGCTTCGCAGTTTGCATCATGACAGTACGGGAAACGCTCCTAGTCTGAGCATTACTATAGATAGGCCTATAAGTTTTATTTTATATATTTATATTGCTATCTATAGGTCTGATAGATGCAACGAATACAGGAATGGATCATTCGGTCATGCGCGGTCGGTTAAATGTAAGGGAGGGGGGGGGGGGAAGGAGTACTGCTGCTGGTATTCGGTGTCAAATCTCAATGATGACTCTATTGGACATTACTGAAGCCCACACATGGATAAGATCAACATTAGCAGACATTGGGCTAGTCACAGGCTTCAATTAAAGGGGAACGTAACTTGGGAAGGGCTTACGAAGATAATTCAGCTAGGTAAAAGTTTAAACTGGGTTCCACCCTATTTATCCTTTAAATTTTAGTAACTACATTTTTATCCTCTCCAGGAGGGCAATGATGAAAGAGAAGCCCGCTGCCGCCTATTCTGCCGCGCCCCTGACGGTACGCTTCTATCTGGGACTCCTGCAGATACTGCCCTCCTCCTTCCTCTACGCTCTCCTCAAGTGGGGCGTCTACTATAAGATTATGAATCTTGCTAAAAACACATAATACGGAAAATGAACCAGTACTGTGGTTCACAACGTGACCCCTTGCGTCGCAAGGTGGTTCAGAGTGTAACTCTTGAGATGGTTCCTTGGTTTCTTGCTCGTTCAGACTTTTCAACTCCTTGGGGATAGGCAGGAATATTGAACTATAAAATACTGACCAAAAACTATACATTAGTATAAAAATGCTTGATAATTCCTGACCCAGCTGGTAAACAAAGTGTGCCTTTTTAAATGTTGCATACAGGCTGGCTGAAACCCTTCCTTGGCTGGAAGGGATTCTGGTTGAATCAGAGCCAGCCAAACAATTGGAAAAATTTCCAGTTTACGTAGCAGTAAAAAAGTACGCAAGAGATGTGCAACTACTGTGGGCTGCATCCTGAAGGTGGTCAGTAGTTGGCACAAGGAAGCCCTCCAACAGCTTGAGTATAATCTGTTTACAGAAAACAGGCGTTCAAAGTCAGATTTAGATGGGGCTTTAACCTGGATCTGACTTTATAACCCTTCATTTGAAGGGGAAACTGCACAAATATTAACTTGGTTTTCTTCACATAAATATTGTAACTCAAATGCAATATCATTCATTGATAACTAGGAACACCTAATGGAAGGAGTGAGATGCTCGATATGGGGTGCATTTATTTAGGGCTGGGGTTAACATGGGAATGAAGGAAACTGTAGAAGGCCTATTGGTCCATACGCAGCAGCTCCTATTTATCCTCCGTCTCATATGTCTAACCTACGCGTGAAACAATAGAGAAATCCAACTTTTATTGTTACACGATACTAGGCTCCACAAATAAATGCTGGTTACTGAACCAGTATTTATCCCAGGTCTTAAATAAAAACTACCCCCCCCCCTCACGTCCCTTTCCAGCCAACTGTTGTCGTGAGGGGGGAGGGTGGGAAGACATTGTAGACGGATGCCGGGGTGGGATGCTCCATGGGAACGGTCATCTGTCCTTTTGTAGCCTTATTCACCTGCTGCTGTCTCCACTAATTGTGCTGGTTGCTATTTCTTCTTCCTTGTGTTTTCCTTTTCCCTTCCCCCCCCCCCCCCCCCCCACTTTCTCGATCTGTGGCAATGGGCCCATAATTCTGCTATCTAGATCCGCTCTGATGTTCCCTTCATCCCCTTTCCGGATTTGATCTTTCTCTTTGCTCGTCATCCCTTTACTTAGATTTCAAGTGGCGGGTCCTCGATGACCTCTATGGCAGTGACCCTTTTCCAATCCTTGTTACTCCTTTTCTCTTTTCCCCACATCCCCTCTGTCCAGCTCGTTGTTGCCGTGAGGGGGCTTGGTGGCCAGCTGCCGGAGTGCAATGCTCCTTGGGACGGTCCTCTGTCCTTTTGTAGCCTTGTGCGCCTGCTGCTGTCCTCTGTGCTGGACAACTTTTCCTTTCCCTCGTTTCGTTTTTCTCCTCCCCCCCCCCCCCTCTTCTAATTGTCATTTCCTGCCGACCTTTTGCATGTTTTGATTATTCTTTTGGACTACTTCTGTTTTGATGCCCGGGTGCTTGAGGCGGCACACTCTTGCACCCGTAGACCCCCTCCATGTCCGGCTCGTTGCTGCCGTGAGGGGGACTTGGTGGGTGGCTGCCGGTGTGGTGCTCCTTGGGGTGGTCCCCCTGTCCTTTTGTAGCCTTGTGCTCCTGCTGCCGTCCTCACAAATTTTGCTGGACACTTTTTCCTTTTCTTCCCCCGCCCCCTCCTCGCTCAGCTCGTTGATACCGTGAGGGGGGCTTAGTGGGCGGCTGCCGGAGTGTGATGCTCCTTGGGACGGTCCTCTGTCCTTTTGTAGCCTTTTGCTCCTGCTGCCGTCCTCTCCAATTGTGCTGAGCAACTTTTCCTTCCGTTTCGTTTTTCTCCCCCTCTCTTATCCTATCTGCTTGCCGTTTCCTGCCGACCTTTTGCTTGTTTTGGTTATTCCTTTGGACTACTTCTATTTTGACGCCCGGGTGCTTGAGGAGGCATACTCTTGCACCCGTAGAACTGTAGTACCCAACGTAGAGAGTAATCTTCACAACCCCTTCGGGTTGTGAAGATTACCTTTGATGGTCGGACCCTTCCATCCTCTGTCATTCTTGCTGGTGCCAGGTGCTCTGTCCAGGAGTACATGCCTTCTTCTAGGCTCTGTAACAAGTGCTGGAGGTTTGGGCATGGTGCCCTCCGCTCCTCCGGGACTCTCTCTCTGTCCTTTGTGTGGTGGCGAAGGTCACTAAGTCGGAGTGCACTTCTCCCCAGGCTCGTTGCCTCAACCGCGGTGAGGCTCATCACACGCACGGGAGGCTTCTCCCGTGCGTGTGTCCATTACAAGCTTGAGGCAGCCGTCCTAAACTTGAAGCACCGGGAGCGTTTCTTTTCCTGAGGCGAGACGCCAGGTTCGCCGGCTCCTGCCTTATGCTAATATCTCTTATGCTCGCGTGTTGCGCTCTTCCTCTCCTTGTCCTTCCCACCTTCCTCAGACTCGCAACCGTTTCCGGGCCTTGGACCCTGATACGCCCACTGCCCCCTCCTCTGTTCCTTTGAGTTCTGTCCCGAAGCTTTTACCCCTCCTACGATTCTAAAACGCCTTTTCCTTGAGCACTTTTCTCACTCCCACTCAGTTTGTCTTCACCGATGGGTCTAAGTCTGCGGACGGTGTTGGCTACTCTGTTTTTTCCTGATCATACTTGTGTCGATTACCTCCGGAGACTAGCCTCTTTACAGCGGAGCTTTATGCTATTCTCTATGCTCTTCGTCTCCTGCTTTCTCGTTGTCCGTCTTCCTTTGTGGTTGTTGTTGACTCTCGTAGTGCCCTCATGGCTCTCGGGTCCTTTAATCCGGTTCATCCAGTAGTTGTCGAGATCCAGCATTGGCTGTTTCTTGTTCACAGTAAATTTAAGTCGGTTGAGTTTTGTTGGGTTCCCAGCCATATTGGTGTCTTTAAATGAGCGTGCGGGTCCTGCCGCCAAGGAAGCTGTCCGCTCTTGTCCCATCTCGTAAAGGTATTCCATATTCCGACTTTTACCCGGTTATCCATTCCTCCATTCTTACCCATTGGCAGGCTTCTTGGTCGTCTGTTACTGGTAACAAACCACGTACTCTTTAATGTTGTTTCCTTGTGGCCGTCCTCCTACCACCGTAACCGGCGATGGGAAACAGCTCTGGCGAGGTTGCGTATTGGCCATACTCGCTTAACCCATGATCACTTGATGGAGCGCCGCCCTGCTCCTTATTGTCCTAGTTGCATTGTCCCTCTTACGGTCGTGCATGTCCTTCTTGAATGTCCTGACTTCCAGGACGAGCGTGTCTTGCTTTCCGACCGCCCCTCGCGGTCACCTGTCCCTCAATAAAATTCTTGGCGACTGATACTTTTGATATCGATCGCCTCATGCGTTTTTGTTCTCATATTGGCATCCTTGGTGATATTTAGCGCCCTCTGATTATTCCGCGCATTTGATGGTGCTACATAGCCTTCCCGGTTTGGTGCCTTCTTTTGACAATTACTTAAAGCGCACGTTAAGTGTGTGTGAATTATTGGGGTGGATATAAATGGCTGCCTCGTATGGGCCAATAGGCCTCCTGCAGTTACCTTCATATGTTCTCCAATGAAGCTTTCTGAAGATGGTCTCCATGCTTGGCTGTAATAATCCAAGTGGGGGGGGGTGTACCAGAGATAGTTTAAACTTTGGTTATCTTAATATATTACGTGAACTTGTATTATATAATCTGTATGCTAGACCCTTCTTTAGCCTTTTACTTGTACATTGTAACACTGTCGGACAGGAATCTTGGCCTAATGTGGGTTCTCAGAGGCTGTCCAGTACTTGCCAGTGTACAGGGTCGTGAGGTCTGTCACTCCTACTAGCCTTCTACCTGTTGGGTTACTACTTGACTCTTCTGACGTAAATTTCTATAGAATGTTTTTGCCCATCAAATTTCTGTAAAGATCTCGACCAGTTCTCTTACAAAGAACGTCGCTTTTCGCTCTCGTCAGTTTCAACCAAAAATTGCCGTACTTGAAAATGGAAGTTCATTTTCCAATTGAAATGGACCCAAAGCAGCAAGTTTTGGGTCCTCTGGTAGGTTAGAAGGGCAGGAAATTATAAAGTTTCAAAGTCGTGAAAACCGTTAATTTAGTCTTCTAACCTAACAGCCTAAGCCAGAGGACCCAAAACGGGACAGTACGTAACTTTCGTGAGCCGCTGACATTTTAATAAATAAATAAATGTTTATTTAGGTAAGGTACATAAGAGATTTTACAAAGTTTGTTGGATTAATAGATAGAGCTAGTATATACAATGCCTAAAGCCACTATTACGCAAAGCGTTTCGGGCAGGTTTTTCTGGTACAATGTTTGCCCCCTTAGTGCGCATGAGAGCGAAAAGCGACCGCATTTGTAAGAGAACGGGTTGTTAGCCACTAGGCTACATAGAACTGCGTGTGCAGTTCTATGTTCATGCATTTTGTCTAAATGTGATAAATACGGATATTGTACAGCTAACCATGTTAATGTACTATAAAGTTGTGTAATAAAACTTGAAACAGACTTTAGTTCTTTATTGACTACACTAGACAGTTTAAACATGGCACAAGACTCTTGACTCAACATAAACTACCCGGTAATCTACAAATGCACACCGAACTTGGGCAATCTTTGATGCACGTCTGATTGTTAAAGTGAACAGAATGTTAAGAGACGTGTGGTTAATGGTCTAAACAATATTTGGAAATGATTATTTAACTCGGTTTACAATGGAGGGCTTTAACAAGCTGCAATTGTAAACAAAACTCAGTGCGTAGAAATTAACATAACCCACTAGCAATTAACTGAATCTCTGCCTAATCGTAGTCTCCGTGGCACAGTGGTAACACTCGTCCCGTGCTTCTAAAGTGCTTTGTCCTGGGTTCGTATCCTGGATATATTTGTATCCAGAGTAATCTTGAATCCATGCTAGCATATTTCCCTTTACACCTTTAACTAAGGTGTGTAGTGTGTAATGTTATCAGCACCTGGTGCAGTGTCCTTGCCACCTTTTTTGGGTCTGATTAGTTCTTGTTTGGTGAAGGGACAGTCACAATCGTCATTTATAGCTATGCTCTCATGAATGATTGTCAACCTCTTGTTTTAATTGTTCTTACTGCCTTCAGACCATTGCAGGAAGCTGATATGAAGCTGTTCTTTCTGCAATTTGGAGAGCAAGTCTCTCGGCCTCCTGCAATGGTTGAATACATGCCTGTGGTCGGGCTGGTCGACCTGATATAGTTTTAATCTGACCCCATATCTTGCCAAGACTACTATGTTCATTTAGAGTTTGACACCACTCAAACTATCTTGCCTCCTTTACTTCTCTAGAAACTCGCCTTGCTTCAGATATCACCGCTCTTAGCAGAGTTCTTCCTTCTGGTGTGGGGTTTCTCTTTAGATGTTTTCTGAAGATGTTGACTCTGTGGTTCTGTTCTTTAACGTCATTACTATAGAACCAATAGTTCTTTAGTTTCGTGTTACCTGTGATAATGATTGGAATAGCTTTGTTTGCAGCAGCTGCAATAGCTTCCTGCAGATTGGTCTCGTGTATGTTCAAATCCTCAGGTGGC